GTCATCTACTTACGGATGTTACGACCTGGCGTCACATTATTTTACAATTGGCAACTTAGTAATGCAAGTCAGTAAGGCTAACACAATACTTGTTGAGCCTAAAATTCAATGACCTAAGAAGTATACATTGTATGAAACAATTTTTCGCAACTCTACTATGAGGATTCATGGAACACTCAAGGATCCGACAACCATGGTGTGAAGATTCTTTTGGCAAGGAGTTGACATAGTTGATGAATTTTATCAATTATAACAAGAAGTCATATGGATTTAAAGGCAGATTATCCAACAATGTCAGAAAAGATAGTTGGCTGATTCGCCATTGAATTATTTGACGCTCATAAATCGACAATTGACAGAAATCCGAGACAACATTAATCACCATCATAAACCAGAACAAAGTTCACTAACTCAAACCAAAATAAAGTTCACTAACTCAATTTGACACATAAAAGGATTCACGATCTAGATGAAAAGAAAGCTCGAGTTTAGGGACTATTTGAAGCAAGTTACAAGAATCTCTCTACTTAGCTAGCAAATTTTGCAACATTGTGGAAAAAATGAAAACTCCACATTTGAATGAAAAAAAAAAGATATTTAAATGCTTATAAATATCTCTCCATAGTACACTCACACTATACTAACCGCCCATTCCTACACCGTGGCCCATCACCACCTATCCTCTTTGCCTCTTTCTTTCTCTTTTCGCCATCCCCAAAACGAAAACCGCCCACGTTACTTCCATCGTCATCACTTCCACATGGGAGAAGAAACTGCCGGCGGGATGCTTCCCGCCGACGAAATCCAGTCCCCAGCCAAACACCCCCACAACCCAACCGGCGAGCGCAGAAAAGGCGGCTTAAAAACCATGCCTTTCATCATATGTAAAACCCCCCAATTTCCTCCCATTTCGATGAATTGCTTCTCTAATTAGAATCTCTCTGACTAACTGTAGTTCCGCCATTGCAGCAAACGAAACTCTGGAGAAGGTCGCCAGCGTGGGTCTCCAAGCCAACATGATCTTCTACCTCCAGAAGCAGTACCACCTCACAAATTCCACCGGCGCCAACGTCCTCTTCCTCTGGGGCGCCCTCTCCAATTTCACCCCGATCTTCGGCGCCTTCGCCTCCGACTCCTACCTCGGCCGCTTCCGCGTCATCGCAATCGGCACCATCATCACCGTCTTCGTAAGTCCCCCCAAAAAAATTAAATCCCCAATTCGTCAATTCAACAATGAAACTGAAAATTGAAAATGCTCCCCTGTTTCTGGCCACCACATCTTCAGGGGATGATCGTGCTCTGGTCCACCGCCGTCTTCCCGTCGGCCCGGCCGAACCCATGTCAGCAATTGACGCCCGACACGAAACACTGCGACTCGCCGGAGCCGGCCCAGCTGTTCCTGCTCTTCGCCTCGTTCGCCCTGATGGCGGTCGGGGCGGGCGGGATCCGACCCTGCTCGCTGGCCTTCGGGGCGGACCAGTTCAGCGACCCGGCCGACCCGAACAACGAGCGGACCCTCCAGACGTTCTTCAGCTGGTACTACGCGTCGGTCGGGGTCTCGGTCATCGTCTCGGCCCTGGCCATCGTCGCGATCCAGGACCGGTTCGGGTGGATCGTCGGGTTCGGGGTGCCCGTGGTGCTGATGATCCTGTCGGCGGTGCTGTTCCTGATCGGTTCGCCCGTTTACGTCCGGGTGCCCGGGGATTCGACCCTGTTGACCGGGTTCGGGCGGGTGGTCGCCGGCGCGTGGAGGAACCGGGGGATGGCGGCGGCGCCGAGGGATTCGGATCGGTGGATTCGTCGTCAGGGGTCGAAGCTAGTCCGGCCGACTGATAAATTGAGGTATATATTTGCATTAATAATATATAGTTAGTGATGTTAATCCTTTGTTTTGATTCGGTTTAATTGTCTGGTTAAATGTCCTTTGGGAAGAAGGTGTGCCTTGTGGTTCTGGGGAATGTTGTGTTGTTCCATTTGTGGCTGTCGAATGTCGATCGTAACGGCAAATCCAAAGGCCGTTTCTTTTGTCCCAAAATGGAATTTCACCTTTATTCACGCGGTTTTAGCTGGAAAATTGTCATTTTATGAAAATTTGCTAACATATGATTTTGGAATCAAATTATTTCATTATAGTGTATTATTCATTTTCGAATGACTGAAAAAAATCACTACTATCATATCTAGCAATGCAAAGGAGCCAAACTGTTTACAAGCGTTTCGGTGTAAAATTTCGATAAAATTCGTTTGACACTCGGCTCGTTTATTAACGAGTTGAGCTTGAGTCAGTATACCTTGTTTAGCTAGGAGGGTTCGCAAGCTAGCTCGACTTAGTGTATTATTGATTTCAACCTTTGAGCTAATTCGTTTTGACCTCATGAGTTTACTCAAAGTGTGGCTAGCGAGCCAGCTCTACTAGCGGCTTATGAGTGATCGATTTATAGCTTTTGAATTGGGTTGTTGATAATCAATAGGTTTGTTAAATTATATATTTCACTACAGATGATGTTTACGATTTGAGTATGTGAGCAAATATGTCTCATTTACGACAAAGAAACCCTACATTTACGTGTCATAGATTGTTTAGATACTAACTATTGTTAAATAACATGGTATTAATTATTGCTATATAACATTATATGAACTAAATAACATGACATATGAGCTGAGCTCACGAGCTCTTGAACTTACTATTGAATCAAGTTCGAGTCAAATGTAAATCTCAAAATTTTAATTAAGTAACTAAGCTCGACTTATTTATTAATTAGCTAAACCCGAACGAGGGTCCCATTTACAAGCTTTACTTATTTTATATGGGTGAACTTAACATTTTTTGGTTTGGGCTTTTAACAGGTTTCTTAACAAGGCCTGCATGATACCAGACCCACCAGAGGCCCAACCCAAAGACCCAAACACCCTCTGCACCGTCCAACAAGTAGAAGAGCTCAAATCCCTAATCAAGGTCCTCCCAATCTGGTCGACCACCATCATCATCGCCGTCACCGTCAGCCAGCACTCCTTCCCGGCCCTCCAGGCCAACTCCATGGACCGCCGCTTCATCGGCGAATTCAAGCTCCCCCCGGCCTCCTACGGCGTATTCGGCATCCTCACACTCACCCTCTGGGTCGCCCTCTACGACCGCGTCGTCGTCCCCGTCCTCGCCGGCCGCCCCTTCAACCGCCCGACGGGGATCTCCAACAAGTACCGGATGGGGATCGGCCTCCTCATCTCCTGCCTCGCCACCGCCGTCGCCGGCGCAGTCGAGCACCGCCGCCGGAATTTGGCATTCCGGCAAGGCATCGCCGACGACCCTGCCGCCATCGTCGGAATGTCGGCGAACTGGCTGATCCTGCAGTACTGTTTAACCGGGCTCGGCGAGGCGTTCAACATCATCGGGCAGATCGAGTTCTACTACTCGCAGTTCCCCGAGAACATGAGGAGCATCGCGATGGCGCTGGTGTCGCTGGGGCTCGGCGTCGGGAATTTGGCCGGGAGTTTGATTGTGTCGGTGGTGAATGAGGCGACGAAAAGGGGCGGCGGAGGGAGGGTGAGTTGGGTTGGGAATAATTTGAATCGCGGGCATTATGATTATTACTACTGGTTGCTGAGTGTGTTGAGCGTGGGGAATTTTTTCTACTACTTGCTCTGTAGTTGGGCGTATGGGAGTGATGATCGGAAGCTTTGGGATGAGGCGGAGGTCGCCGGCGGCGACGGCGGTGGTGGGGAAGGAAGGGAGATGGAGACGGTTGTATAAAACAATTAGTTTGTTTGGTTCGGGAGATTATTTTTTTTTAAGTGGTGTACTTACGAGCTAGAAGTTTGCTATTATGCAAATTAAATGACTCTGCACAGATTGATAATGTGGACGGTTGTATTATAAATACTTGTATGAGAGATTGTACCGAACAAGTTCGTATAATGGATTTAACACGAGCGGAATTATTGTTTAGCCAACAACATATTTATAAGATACACGTATGTATATATATATATATATATATATCATTAAAGAGCAAGTAAAGAAAGATAATATATTTGATCGTTAATATACCCGTATTGAGTTATTAATTAAAACCGAATGATGTATTGGATACATACAATTTGACGCGTTATACTTAGAGTCTAGAGATAACAATTTTATATCCAATTAAACATTCAATTAATTAACATTCCATTAGATTGTGGATTCGAGATTAGATACATGGATATATGAAAAATTACAGTTTATTACTTCTATTTTTATATTTTACATTTTATTATCTAAATTTTAATTTGTTAAAGTAAAATATTATTGGAAAATTTGCCAGTGATTTTGCAATTCTCATTTTGTGTTGATGGCCGGACTTCCCAATTAGCGGCCGTCGCTAGCGGATTTCACAGTAAAATCCGCAACCACTCCATTCAAAAATAGTTACCGGCGGCCGGAATTCACACCGGATTTGAAGAGGCAATTAAATTAATTTTGCTTTGCAGCAAAATGCATTCTCACTAATCACTATTAGAGGGATTATCAGGTACAGTGTATATTATACGCCGTCTTATTAAAACAATATTTTTATCTTAAAATATCGGAAGTGAAAAAGAGATTGAGTGACTAGAGATGGCAAAAAGGAATGAAGAAAATTAATTTCATACAACACAATTTCTTAAAAATATATTATTTGCATGCTAAATATAAAATATGTTGAGAAAAATAAAGATTATTTCTTGACAGAATACATATGTATGTGTATAATCGGGTGAGTTCAGATTGGATAATGAGAAAATCATGTTCATTCATTGCCCGCAATCTTTGAATTCGAGTTTTACTCATACCCACAAAAAATCATTCGAGCTCAATTTTAACCCTTCCTGATTAGATCAGATTCGGGCGGACTCCACAATCGGATATTTATTACATACTAGAAGAAAAATATATTTTAATATAACAGGAGTATATTATACACGGGAATATCCAATAATTTCTCATCTCTATAAATACAAGTCACTGTTAGACTCCTTCCATCTTCACCACGAACTTCCCCACTTTCTCAACCACCACCAGCCTTCCCGCGACTCCCGAGTTCTTAGTGAAATCAGTTCGCCGCCCTAATCCCTATGGCACCCATCGCCGCCGGTGACTCCTTGCCTGACGGAACCCTCGCTCACTTCGACGAGAACGATCAGCTCCAGCAGGTGTCCATCCACTCCCTCGCCAAAGGCAAGAAGGTCGTCATCGTCGGCGTTCCCGGTGCTTTCACCCCCACTTGCAGGTCCGATCATTATTCTCTCTGCTATTTCACTCCCCTTCGTTTCAATTCCCCTTCAGATCTGTAACCTTACGCCTAGATCTTGCCGTCTCGTCAATTACTCCGCCTTTTGATATTTTGGAGTGTGTAATCGGATCGGCGATTGTGAGTTCTGAAATTGTTTGGATTTGTGGTGTGTTGATGCTGCTGCAGCTTGAAGCATGTTCCTGGGTTCATCGAGAGAGCAGAGGATCTCAGAGCCAAAGGCGTCGCTGAGATCATCACTATTAGCGGTAATATTCCATTCCATTTCCCTCTCCTTTGCTATTGATAGATTTTGAAAGTCGGTTGTCGAATTTTCAGCTATCTGGATAATCTTCTTACTAATTAAGGCAGATTCTGCAGTCCTGTTTAGTTAGCAATTCCCCTTTTCATTTGACACTTTCCGAGATCCTGCTTTTGGCCCAAATTTGTTTGATAAACTAGATGGGAAACCCTAAGATAGCAACTTTGCTGGAAAATATGATGCTTCCTTCAATTCAAAACCGATGTACTAGTACCCTCCAATCATCCCATTCATTTTAACTGACATGACGAATTCCTTCACTTATGGATGGTAAAGTGTGTTATGACATGGGTTCTTCTAGGGTCATTCACTGGTTGTGCAGTGAATGACCCATTTGTGATGAAAGCTTGCGCCAAATTTGTGGTTTGTTGATCGATTTGAAAGTCCTCTTTCGAATTTTTAATCTCTCTGGATTATCTTCCTACTAATTTGGGAGATTCTGCAGTCCAGTTCAATTAGCAATTTCCCTGATTTTCGCCCAAATTTGTTTGATAAACTAGATGGGAACCGCAAGATAGCAACTTTAGAATAGACTGGAATTTATGATGCTTGATTCAATTCAAAACCAATGGTGTGTTAGTAGCCTAGTACCTTTAATTGCGCCCGATTCAGTGTAACTCTTAATTGACTATTGAGTTTAGAAAGCAGTGAAATTTCTTCATTTTCTGGATATGTATCGATGTGGTCTGATATGGGCTCTTCTGGGGGGGGATCTTTGGTTGTGCACACAGTGAATGACCCATTTGTGATGAAAGCTTGGGCCAAAACCTACCCGGAGAACAAGCACGTGAAGTTCTTGGCCGATGGGTCAGCAACTTACACCCACGCGCTGGGTCTCGAGCTCGATCTCAAGGAGAAGGGTCTCGGAATCAGGTCGAGGAGGTTTGCTCTGTTGGTGGACGACCTCAAGGTGAAGGCTGCCAACATTGAAGAAGGTGGCGAATTCACTGTTTCCAGTGTTGATGAGATCATCAAGGCCCTTGATTGATAGCTTGAGAGCTTAGTGCATCGACTCTTGATTGATAGCCTGTTTAGTGTTAGTGATGGAGATACTCTTGCCATGGTGGTGTGCTATGATGATGAACCTTATGTAATTCCGTCCCCAGTTTCTGTTTAGGGATGGAGAAGAATAAAAGGATTTCGAAGTTTCAGCGGTGTTATTGCAGTAGTGTCTTGTTTAATTGTCCCGTTATATATTTTGTTGGCTGGCTCCAGTAGTATATTGGATTCAGCCGGCGGCCGGCGAACCCTGGTGGAATTGTTCGATTTCTGTTGTTAAGCAACTCGCGACTAGTGAACTACAAAGTCGGTTTCGTATAGTTTTCAAACGAAGCCAGTCAACTTTGTTTCGCGGCTGTACTTGTCTGCATCATTCATCTAGATTCTTTCGCGCGGTTTAAGATTTGAAGTTTATCGATATGCTAAGGGGAATAGTTGCGAAACTCTATCGAAGTTATACCGAAAAGTTAGTAGTATGATATTTTGTATTAAAATCGTGTTTGAACCGTTTTGTATCGTTAAAAACGTTTAATGTTTAGAGTTCGCTATCCGGTATTTTCGGTCGAACCGACTGGTACGGTAGGATTTCTATTGAGTAATAGTGTCGTTGATCTATTATAGTTTACTTTTTGTGTTGTATAAGGGTAATACAGTTTGAGATTTGAAGTTTTTCGTCGTGTATTGTTACATCTAGGGGTGGAAATCGGTACGGTATCGGTATCCCAATACCAAATACCGAAATCCCGAATACCGAATTACACCCTAAAATCAATCCCAATCTCAATCCCTGAATTATTTCGGTATCCCAATCCCTAAATATTTCGGTATCCCAATCGGTACTTCGGTATCCCAATCGGTATTATCGAATACGAAATTAATTATCTTTGCAATTAATAATTAAATATATAAATTAGATTTTATTGTTTAATTTAGGGGGAAAAGACTAGGGTTAATACCTTAGTTTGGCCTCAAAGCTGACGTGGCAGGTGAGGTGGACATTGACTAACGGTCAACAAGTTTGACCGTCTAATTTAACTGTCAAACCCGCCTCCGGGCCAAATGAGGAAGTTTGCTACATAGTTCAGGCCAGAATAGCAATTTCCAATACCATGGGCCAAAGTAGAAAGTATGTGTATAGTTCGGGCCAAACTAAGGAATTAACCCAAAAGACTAAGCAAAGAATTTTGAATTATGATATTATTAAAGAGAATGGAGGAGAGGAAACATCTCAAGTTCTTGTCATTGATAATCTTTAGTTTGACGAATTAGAGGTTGAGAGACGACTATTAATAGTGATCGAATGATATGTGTATAATTAAATGACACTTTTGGTGGTTGAGGGTCATGTAGTAGTAAATAAGAGAGTCTAGTTGAGAGGATAAAATAACTAGCTTATATTTCGGTATTGATCGGTATTTCGGTATTATCCCGATCCCAATCCCGTAATCCCTAATACCGAATAACAATTGAAATTCAATCCCAATCCCAATCCCAAGAAATAATACGTGTATTCGGTAATATCAAATATAGACAAATTCGGTACGATATTCGGTATATCCCAAATACCGGTACCAAACTTCCAACCCTTTACATCTAATGCAGTCAAAATCGCACTTTTTACGTTTTTAGGTCTTGCTACAGCAACTATCTATTGGGTCGTTGGTATGGCAAGGTTTGGGCCGACTTTTATAAGTTCTATCTTAAGCCCAACTAAAGCGACAGATCAAATCGCGTTTTAACTTCATCTATTGACTTCGTTTCCGCAAGCTGCAAGGATTAAACCATCATCTTTTCCGATTTTCCCTTTTCTGGCCTTGAAACCCTAAAACTCTATTCTCTCTTCATTCTTGCGTTAACAACTTAACATTCATCACTCGTGAGGAAGAATCCTCGATTAAGAAGAGTAGCTGGAGGGGTCCTGCGTTTTCTGCTCGCCGCCTCCTCCGCTGCGTTCGTCTTCCGTCGCTGCTCAGAATCAGAAAGAGGGAGTTTTTGCGTCGCTGATAGGAGTTTCAGCTCACTGAAGCATTGAAGGGTTAATTGCAATCGGAGAGAGATGTTTTCCGGTCTGAAATTCATACCCAGGGACCAAATTGACGAAGTAAGTTTGCTTTCTGCAAATCCACAATTTCATTCCTCGCATTTTTGCCGCTTTATTGATTTCTGACTACCGCCAATTCGTCTGAGACGCGGCGCATTCTGCTGCCATCCTCTATGGATGCTCAAGTGTTTTCGGTATGTGGGTTCATTCAGTTGAGTCGTTTGATGCAGGCCCGAGATGAAGATGTAAGCAAATCCTCGAAGAGGAGAAAGAAGGACGGCAAAAGGGAGAAGAAGGGGAAGAGGAGCTCGCGGTCGAAGAATAGTTCCGACGATGATGATTTGGAGAGAATTAAAGAAGGGTCGAGGAGGAAAAAGAAGTGGTATTCCTCCGACGAGTATTCGTCCTCGTCGGCGTCTGAAGATGACGGGGATCGGAAACGAAGAGCCAGGAGTAAAAAGCGGGATAAAGGATCCAGAAAAGAGGATTCTTCACCTGGTATGTAATGTTTACGGAGCTGGTGTTCTGTTAGCTCTGTTTTTGTATGTATGCACTAGGAAGTGTTGATTTAGTTTTAATGGATGGTGTTTTGTAGAAGGTGGTAGAGAATCTGACTCCATGAATGATATGGAGATTACTAGGAAGGAAATGGGATTGGATTGGATGCTTAAACCTGCCGAGAGTGCGGACAAAAGGCCTGCTGCCATGGTCGATGAGCAGCCAGAGGAGCCTGCTGAGGAGGTCAGCTTCTATCTAGCTATTGAATTCGTCCTCTGGGTTATTCAATGTGTCACGTTGTTACCATCTATTGTATTGCTCATATCAATGATGATTCGACTGTTGTCCATTGTTGAGGTCTGTTTTTAACTAATGGATTTCTTAACAGGTGAAAAGGGCGAATCCCAGAGAACTAAATCCCTATCTGAAGGATGACGGAAGTGGTTATCCTGATGAGGCAGAGGAAAAACGTAGTGGAGATCGGCTCCCGTCTTCTGCAGTTGTTGGAGATGGAGGCGCAAGTTGGAGGCTCAAAGCCTTAAAGCGTGCACAAGAGCAAGCAGCTAGAGAAGGGCGAAAGCTTGATGAGGTACGCTTCGACTTATTTGTTCATGTGGACTGATTACTTGATTCACCAGGCATTGATGTGGTTGTATTATGTATAGGTTGTGAAAGAAAGGTGGGACTCTCTTGGTCAATTAGCTGTATCTGCTGCATCTCACAGGGCAGCCCCATCTCGGGCTCATTTACATGCCATTAAAAGTAGACAGGCAAGGCAGACAGAGGATCAACAACCTGCCTCGGATGGTAAAAGTAAGAGAGATATTAACAAGGTATATTAAAAGTTTCGAAATAAACTTCTTATTATGCAAGTTGAAAAGCTTGTTATTGTTGTGAAAAAGATAATTGTTATAATTTTGCTTAAAATCAAATTTGATTTCTGTTCACCAGAGTAATGATCGAAGCTACTTGAAGGATGTTTCTTTCCGGAGTGAAATGAGAGCCCCTAAGGTGCATGAGAGCTTATCCTGGGGAAAGCAGAAAAAGAAGAAGTTGTCTACTAATGATGCAAACCTTATATCCAGTGCAGCATCTTGCTTGAACAAGTTCTCTAATGATGGAAGCTTTATGAACCAACTACTTGGTCCAAATGATGATTTGGATGGTTCAAAACCAAAACAAGAGGCTGAGTTTAAAGTAGATTCATCTGACAGTAGTCAACCATCTGAAGGTAGTCTAGTGATTAAGGAAGGAATGACTGCAAATCAGTTGGCAGCTAAGGCTCTGCAGTTTCGTCTGAAGGGCAAGCATGAAGAAGCTGATAAGCTAATGGTAAGAATGCACTTTTTCTCTGGTGATGTCAACACACGACTTAGTAGTTTCCTATTGTGGTCACTGATGGCATTTTGTTTTTCTTTATGCAATTTTTTTGTGTCTCCACCAGAAAGAGTCGGAGAAGTTGAAGGAGAAGCAGAGCGGTGGAGGACATATAATTCAACAGCCTCGAATCGCAGCAAGCACTGTCAGGTAATGCTAGCTAGCATCTCAATTTTGTTTTTAAATTGTAAGTTCTTAATGTTTTGGAGCCATTGGCACTACTTGCTTTACGGAGATATTTTGCCTCATAATTTTTTGGAATGGTGGGAGACCAAATGCTGACTCTCTTTTTCACCTCCCATACTTCATCAAGTTTTATTAGTTGCTCTGAACTCTCCACTGGATTTGGTTCCTTCTTTGTATACCATTGACGTTTTTATTTTGTCCTTTGTCTAGATATGCTGGACAACACACTCGAAAGAAGGACGATGACAATGCTGATAGGAATCTAGCTCGAACAATAATGCAGAACAAACAATATAGTTTATCAGGTCGCGCAGATGACGAGTATGATTATCCTGGGGATGGTCCAAGTAAGAAACCCCGAAAGAAGGAGATGGACAAAAACGATCGCTTGAAGTCCTCGGAGAACAACAATCTTGCTTCTAGGCGCATCCTGACACAACAAGAACGATGCCTCTTTTGCTTTGAGAATCCTAATAGACCAAAACATCTAGTCGTGTCAATTGCAAACTTCACTTATTTGACGTTGCCTCAACAGAAACCACTTGTTCCTGGCCATTGTTGCATCCTACCGTTGCAGGTAAAAGCTTAATCTAATTGCTCGTCCATTCTTCCTTCAAATGTGTCGGCATGTTATTGTCATGGCCCTTATGCTTGTTCTAATTGGAAAATCGAATGTCTTCCCTGTTGCAGCACGAGGCAGCTACACGGAACGTGGAAGATAGCGTGTGGGAGGAGATCCGTAACTTCAAGAAATGCCTGATACGGATGTTCGCAAAACAGGACAAGGAGGTGGTTTTTCTTGAAACGGTGATAGGCTTGGCGCAACAACGCCGGCATTGCTTACTTGAGTGCATCCCTCTGCCTCAAGATATTGCAAAAGAGGCCCCTCTTTATTTCAAAAAGGTCGGCATCATGTCGTTTCTCCGTGAACCTTCTGTTTTCTCAATCAGCTGCCCTTTCTTTGCTTCTGCGTCTAAACAATTTGCCCTTTTTCGCCGCTATTCTTGCACAGGCAATTGACGAGGCTGAGGACGAGTGGAGCCAGCACAATGCAAAGAAGCTGATCGACACGAGCGTGAAGGGGCTTCGAGGTTCAATCCCCAAGGACTTCCCTTACTTCCATGTTGAATTCGGACTGGACAAAGGGTTCGTCCACGTGATCGATGACGAGTCCCAGTTCAACAGCAGCCTTGGCCTGAATGTTATCAGAGGCATGATGGAGCTGCCCGAGGAAGATATGTACAGCCGCAGGAGGAGACACGGAACAGTCGAAGGGCAGAAGCTCGCGGTTGCTGAGTTTGTGCGGGATTGGGAACCTTTCGACTGGACCAAACAGCTTCACTGAAGCCTGCACCCCCTATAGAAGATAGTTTTGTCAGGGACAGAGACTGTAGCAGTGTATTTGCTCCTTCCAAATTGTTCAATGTTTGTTGTATACCAGGTTGTATTTGTACATAGATGGATTTACGAGTCGCCGCTAGTTGAGTACTAGCTTCATGAATGGATTTTTCGATCTCTTACAGAGGGTCTCGAATCTCGATCTCGAGTTCTACCCAAAATGTTAGTCCCTGAGGACGAAGCCTCGACCACCATCTTCTAACAATCATATGGCTAAGAGCAAGAATGAGACTGAATTGACACTCGCGTACACCTCTTAAAGTAAGCGGAAGAGTGAAGACTGCAAACTTGTTGAGTGCGCTTGTTCAGAGTATTGGTACGACTACACTGAACCATGATTAAACCACAACTAAGATTATCATACCTATAGCCATAGGAACTTGGCTTGTGCCCTTCAAATTGTTCATTATGAAACCAAAAAATTATAGGTATATCATTGTTAATCATTTAAATTTATTTAGTTATTTTTACGTTAGACCCACTTTAGTTAACAAAAACTTAAAATGAAACTGGTGTTTACTTCAACAATTTAAGGATCCAAATAACCATTTCAAAAAGGGGATCCAAAGATAAATTTGAATTAATAGATGAATATGATTTGGAATCTTACTTGATCAATTGTCATTTTTATTCTTTCTTAAGTTGACTTTGTTTTTCTTTGTTGCCAGAAAGGTGGATTTTTTTTTATTGTAATGAGATGCGTTAGCCTGATCTCATATCGACAAACTGTACAAGAGATTCATGATTTATAAGTACGAAATCGATATTTACTAACGAGACACGTTTTGGGATGACATAGAAAGAATACATACGAGAACTCTGAAATTAATTAAACGTGTTCACCGTGGAGTACTGTAACAATAAGTGACCTCTCTTGGGAAGTCATGTTAATATGCAACCCAAATAAAAAAACCATGTAGGTGTAGACTCAAAGCATGCAATATCTCAATCGAAAAAAAATAATTCGAGATCAGGATGTTACACATTGTGTCATCATATTTATTTCGCAATAATTCCGTTTTAATAAAATATTTAATATTTCACTATCTATTTCCTGGATTTATTAATTGCTGAAAAACTAAAAATCACCCACCAAGAAAATTCAGTAGTAATCCTTTTGTTTTCACCTTTGACTCCCAATTTTTTTTTTTTAATTTTCCCGGCAATCCGCACAATACGTGGATTCCAACAAGACTCAGATCAACCCATTTCCCTCACCTATATAAAAAAAAAAAAAAAACACTCACCTTCTGGAAAATACCCATCCAAGACCAGAAAAAGAGGAAATCAAAACAGAACAAGAACAAAAAAGAGAGATGAAGAAGAAGCTGGTGATCGTATTACAGCTATGCTGCATCTTTCTTCTCGTGTTGACAATCACGGCGGGAGGCGAGACGCAGGAAGAGATCGAACAGACCAAGAAATTCTTCCCGGCCAACTACCAGCAGCTGGACCAGGAAAAGCCCATGGGCCCCCACGAGCTCTTCGGGAACCCGTACGGCGACCCGTCTGATTACAAGAAGACGCCGGCCGCCGGGGAGGAGAAGAAGGAAAACAAGAAGGAGAAGAAGCAGAAGGAGGAAAAGAAGAAGAAGAAGAAGGAAGAAAAGACGGCGAAACCGGGCAGGAAGACAGGCATGCAATAGGAGTCGAGAGATTTCCATGTTGAAATAAAAAAAAATAATTAGATACTATTTGCATGAATTTTTGGTTGTAAGAAAATTTGCATTAATAATTATATTAGGACGTATGTTCATTTGCTTCACACATAATTAATAATACACTTAAAACTGAAAATATCAAAAGGGTCAGACTCGTTAGTTCGTTGCTAAATCTTCAGTTCTATGTATGTTGGTTCTTACCGATTGCATTGCGTGAACCTAGTTGAGGTTCCGCAGGATTATCCGTTCAGTTGGTTTCGAGAGTGAATGTATGTAGCGCGTGGATCTCGCGTCCATGATGATGATGATTGATGAGTATCCTTGCACAGTCCGACCACATATCGATGTGTATAGTTCATTCATCGTCGTTTTCAATACTCCGAGCACAGTGGATGACAAGAGACATTGAGTTGTTATGGGATACATAATATGTTTCTTGGATTGCATACAGAAGGAGCTCGATGCATAATATTATTATGTCAAGCCATCCTATCAGCCACGAGAAACCACAAGAGAAATGGACGGAATGATCTCCACCGTTGATATACTAAACCACGCACAATAAGAGCATAAACTTGTGAGAAATGAAGACTTACATGGGAAGAAGATTCGGGTGATTTACTCTGTCTTGAATTAATGATTTAGTGTACTATTATGTGTGTAGTACTTATAATATTATTTTTATAATATATCGATTAAAGCGTGAACCGCTTACTTTACTAGCTTATGCTCTGATTCGGTTATGAAAACATTGGTATTGTTAATATAATTGGCTAATAATATCTCATATAAAATGATAATAACATTTCTTTATTTGTGTGTCCAGGTAGAAACCTTAAACTCAAACTGAGTATGATTATGGTTTCAATCCACTATTCGAACTTTGTGCTCATATAAATCCGAATGAAAATAATATAGGATAGGTAAACCAACATAAACTACACTTCATAGTTGTTAAACCGGTGGTATATCGGCCGATACACTCGGGTTCAACTACCGGACACAAAGTGATGTTATACACGCTATATGAGGTGGTACCGTGGTAGTCAATACCCATTGAAACTTAGTCAATACCAGGTATATCAGTGGTCCAATTGGTATGATCAATTTCTGATTCATAAACAAAATGACATTTTTTTGTGAATTGAAACAACAAAATACTATATATTTAAATATGAGAATTTGTCATTTTATTTATAATATTGTATTTTATTTAAATATGTATAAAGTTATTTTTTGGATTCAAATATAAATTTTTAAATATTAATATTATATTTAAATATGATTATTTGTAATGTTGTACTTTATTGAAATTAATGGAGGCACATGTAGTAAGATAATGTACATATTAAAATCGACACAAACCAACCTATGTCGATTGTACCCGATCGGACCATGCCATCGAATTCATTTGATTTGATGAAACAAAAAGAAAAAAGTGGAGAGGTTGCAAAATTGGAAATGGAAACCAACCAAGGGGCCAATCCATCTATGTGCCGTTTGAGAGAGTAGAGAGAGAGAGAGAGAGAGAGGAGGGTCCATATGGTAAACCCATTCTTCTTTCTTTCTGCATTTCAAAAAATCTTTCTGTTGGATTTTGAAATTTGATATGTGATAAAGTAACCAAACCATCCTCCCACCATTTTGATTTTGTTGACTCCATAGCTCCACAGTCCTTCCTTTCCTTCCTCGGCTACAACACCCCAAAAATTTCACCCTTTTTAACATTTCCCTTTATATAATTTGTTCTTCAACCTCTCTTCTTGCTCTCCAATTCTCAATGGCTTAAAATATAGACATTTGATATATTTCCTCTTGTCTGGGTTTGGTTTGTATGTTTTCCTCCTAGAAACTACAAAAACCAGCTAAGCCTAGCTCCACCAGCAACAACAGGGTTCTTTCTTTCCTCTTCTTGTCTGTATTCTAGCTAACACACACACACTCACTCACTACTGCCCTTGATATCCAGTATTCCTCCCTCTGTTCACTACCTCTTCTCCCTGCTTGTACTCTTCTTTTAACTCTTTCTGCTCACCACTTTTCCTTCTGAGCATCTACTGTACCCTTTTCCCCCATTCTCCTTTCTCTCTCTTTCAGGCCCAAACCCTTTTCTTTGTTCTCTAGCTTCTGGGAGAAGCTCTGTAGTAGTTCAAGGGTTTTTGAGTTTCTGTTTCCAAAAGGAAGGAGAGAAGGAAAGAGGGGAAAAGAAAGCATTACTGTTTTTTTTTAAGGCAAGAAGAGTTAAAAACAGAGGTTTAAGGTGAGAAAGATGAGTGCTTCCAAGTTCATTAAATGTGTTACAGTTGGAGATGGAGCTGTAGGCAAAACCTGTATGCTCATTTGCTATACCAGCAACAAGTTCCCAACTGTAAGTCCCTCTCTCTCTCTCTCTTTCTCTCTATGGAAATAACCTACCCTCGTTTTCAAAGATCGAAACTTTGATGCATTTCTCCATTTGGGTTGTCTGTTTTCACCACCCATCTCAAGATGGATCCTGAAGACATTTGCTTTTTCCCTTTTTTTTTTTTGGGGGGGTTTTCTTGAAAGCTGCCATCTTTCTCGGCTTTTATGGAGTCAGATTGTGCAGGCATATGAATTGGGTATGATTTTAAGTGTTTGCATTGCAGGATTATGTACCCACTGTTTTCGACAACTTCAGTGCCAATGTGGCGGTGGATGGAAGTATTGTCAATCTGGGTCTTTGGGACACTGCAGGTAGTAATTCTTCCTTTTGGGGGGGTTACATTTCTTACTGCAGACCATCTGTTTGTGAAAAGTTCTAGATGAGAGTTTGGTTTCTGGATATAAGCGCCTTAATAATTATTGTGACCTCCAACCTTTTGAAACTTTTGCCCCAAATTGCAGGTCAAGAGGACTACAGCAGGCTGAGGCCACTGAGTTACAGAGGTGCTGACATTTTTGTGCTGGCCTTCTCATTAATTAGTAGGGCAAGTTATGAAAATGTACTCAAGAAGGTAAAAGATTTTAATGCCCTCTCTATGTCCTTTCTTCTTCTTCCCTGTGCTTTCTTTTCTTCTTGTTAGGCCCCATTTCCAGAAACTTTTAATTAAAGCTCACCTTTTTGCATTCATTTCGATCTGAGGCCTTGTTTGGCTTGTCTTCATTTCACTCCCTTTGTTGAAGCTGAGACTGAGACTAATTCAATGCATGCAAAAGCTTGATAGAAAGTTTGGCAATTTTTCTTTCAGTGGATGCCTGAACTTCGCAGGTTCGCACCAAACGTCCCGATTGTTCTTGTTGGGACAAAACTAGGTAAACCTCTTTTTGCCAATCTGAAATTTGTTCTTACAGAAAGCTTTGTGATTGTCCAAAGTTGTGACCTTTTGTGTTTGTTGATGACAGATCTTCGTGAAGAAAGAGGCTATCATGGCGATCCAATGAATTCAAATATCATAACAACTGCTCAGGTAATGATGCACCCTTTTGTTCCTGAACCAGTTGTAAAATTCATGGCAAAAACATTCGGTTGAATGAATGAATAGAAAGTTGTTGTGACTTGGGTGTCATTTTTGATGAATAGGGT